TTATTATTATTATTATTATTATTATTAATACCTGATAACTTTAATTATTCTTATCACCTGTCTGCTGGATAATGTATGGATATAATAGGGAGAATTTACATGTTAATCACTTCTGGGAGTTTAAGGGTTAAAGCACATATGATGTGTTAATTTTTCTAAAATTTGTGTGTGAAATGGGTTAAGGACCCCCTTTGCTACCCTCACACAGCTATCTGAAACAAACCATAAAACTGTTTTAACTGATATACATCACAGATCCTACCTACCCACATAGTGTAGGCGGCCAATGGAAGATTTAAAATAAAGCTACTGAAGGCAGCATCACTGAACACAGAAACAGAAAGGAACAACATTATTTTGCAATGTTCTTTATACTGGAACCTAAAACTTGTCCCAGAATGTACTACAGCGAAAAAAAAAATAATAATAAACCTTTCTCCAGCTCAAAAATTCTAGTTTGGTAATAGAGTATGTACATTTCATGGATTTTTGCGAAACTTGGCCACGATGTTTAGTGGTTATTCATATTGCACCAAACCGCGCGAGGCTAATTTTCGATATTCCAACTATTTCTCCTTTTACGCCTTCGAATTATCTGACGAAGGTCACAAAATATTTCATTCGCCAAGTTAAAAGCAGATTTCTCGAAAAACAATAAAAATATCGGAAAAGGCCTCACACACACTTGCAGTCCATCAACTGTTGTTGGCACCGTGCAGTTATTTTGTTACCCTGCTGGCAGAGGCGTTTATTTGTTAACTTCCCCTACGGTCCACGTAAAAATAAAGTCTTTATTAAAATAAAGAGCTGTATTAAAATAAAGGCTGTATTATTTTGTCTGTGCGTTCGAACGTATAACGCAGGTAATCAAACACTGTCGATTTTGCGTTTAAGGACTTGCACGTGCTTACCGTTAAACCATTAAATAATCAATCATTTGCCTTCTACATTTTTTGTGATTACGATGATAAAATTTATGGTTCGAAGCGACGCAGGAACAAACGAAATCCAAAAGAAACCTCTGAGGGTAAACCCAACATAAATGTGGTCGTTGTTAATGAAAAAAATTAATTAATCATCTGGAGTATCGACCTCTTTGATATCAAATTATTTAAATAATTGCAGTAAAATCTGAGTACTTACACATTGCCATGAATCGTCGTTTCAGCCGCCATTTTGCTTTTTCCGCTGACATGACTTCAATGTATTGCAGAATCAGTCAAATCGCAAGGAACTCTGGGATGTGGTCTCTTTCCTTCTCATCGCCATCATGGTTCGTATCGTAAATTTGAAGTTAAATCTTCTATCCAATTCAATCGTTGTCAATGATGGCATAATTTTTGAAATAAATTCTCTTACAGGGGAAGAAAAATCCTTAAACTGTTGTACTTGTGTATTATTTCTAGGCTCGGGGTCCAAAGAAGCATTTAAAGCGCTTAAATGCACCGCATCATTGGATGCTTGATAAATTGTCTGGTAAATTTGTAAGTATAGCTTTTGAAATACCTTTATAATGTATCATACTAAGTCGGAAGTCTTGCAGAGGATATTTTCCTATCGAAGGCTGTCAAAATTAGGAAAGAGAACAAGGATCAGAGTTTGACTTCGATGTGTAAGTCCTTCCTTGATCCATGAACTGTTCTTGCTGTTTTAAGTGAAAATCAAAACATTTGACCTCGGAATGGAATTGTAATGAGTATGGTAACGTTCAAAGTAATTTTTAAGTGTGCATTGTGTTGTTTGTGTCGTTTCCCTTATCAATTCCCTTACGGTTTTTTTTTCCCACGTAGTTTGCAAGCAAAGCATAGAAACAACTATACTACAACTTAGTAACTAAACTATACAACTTTATTATAATTTCAGAGCTCAGCAAAGAGTTTCCAGCAATCTGATTGGTCGAGTGGTTGCTTATATGACACTATATAAACCGCTCCATGCGGTTTATATAAAATGTTAATAAATGTTACTAAAATGTTATGATTTTAGAAATTTCTTTGTTCAGCTCTGAAATTATACTAAAACAATTATTCGCCTCAGGGTCAGTGAATATTGTCGAATAATCCCCTCGACTTCGTCTCGGGGATTATTCGACAATATTCACCTCACCTTGGCGAATAATTGTTAAATATTACTATACTATTAATTTCTTGCCCTAGAAAACTTTAGAAAAATCTGTAAGATTTCCATATAACCCCATACCTCGTTATGCATACAATTCTTGGATAAAAGAAGCAAAGGCAAAACAACAGATTACCTCGGGATTATGGCTTTGTTTTTGACTGGTATGGGGTTACACGGAAATCTTTTCCAAAAGATCTCTCAGAACGTGTTTGCTTTTGTTTGCATTTGCTTACTACTACTTACTGGCCATCATGCCTGTGTGGCACGTAGGGCAGCAACGAGATCCTTCCAACCCTGCCTATCTTTAGCCAGTTTTTCAATGGTGCACCAGCTGTAATTGAGTTCCCTTAGTCCCTTCTCTACAGTCCTGTGCCAAGTTGTTTTCAGTCGCGCTCTGCTTCGTTTGCCTTCAGGTGTCCAGCGCATTGCAATTCTGACTATGTTGTGACTGGGCTTCCACATCGCATGTCCAATCCAGGTTTGCATTTGTAGTTGTGTTCTTAATGAAAAGGATTCTTTATGGACAGTGCGACATCTTTTTTTTCGTAGGCACCACGTCCATCCACTGGTCCCCATAAACTGCGTGAGTGTTTGCCTTTGATTGTTTTTCTGAGGAACCGCCTCAAGTATGCACTCACATACGATGAGGTGAAAAAGATTCTTAAGCAGAGGTTGATCAAGGTTGATGGAAAAGTTAGGACTGATGTCACATACCCAGCAGGCTTTATGGGTAAGATAACTTTATTTATTGTGTGAGATTCTTCCCTCCCTACAAATTCATTTGTTTTTATCAACTGAACTGATAATGTACATTGGCCACAGTAAAGAGTTTAAAGCTCACGATCCAAGTGTTAGCACTTTGCCATAGCAAAATGCCATCTTCTTTTGCTCTGTCTAAGGGCTTGTGCTTGAAATGTCAGCTTGAGAAACTCTTTATTGTGTAATACTCCCTGTGGATGCAGCAACACACTCCCTCCAGAAACTTACTCTGTTTCTGTATTTGTTTAACTTTGTGGGATCTTCCCTTCAGCTATTTACTCATTACTGCATAAATATCTTACTTTTTGAGGAAGTATACATAAAAACTAGCTAGTGGGTGTTACTCACTATAGGTAAGTGTATTTAAACAATAAACCAGTGTAAATATTTAGACAAATTATTAGAATAGAGATTTACTTTTTGCTCTTCCTCTTGTATGGTTGTACATGTAACCATTATTTTTTTTGTCAGGATAACTTGTTTATTATTAGCTGAACAGTTAGACTACTCTCTTAAACAAGCATCTCAAGGTGTACAGTTGTTTTATTCCTGTTGTCTACAACATCAAATTAGGGATCTACCTGAAGATCAAGTTAAATTATCTGTTTCTTCCAGTCCTAACACAAGGCACTGAATAGTTCTAAAGGTGTCTGAGCTGTTTTACAGGGCAAGTGAATACCCATTTTGGCTGAATTTGGGATTTACATTCAATCAATCATCCCATACTAACTTTCATTATAGCAGACATTTATTGTTATCATTTTTGTGCTGATATGCAACTTCTTAAGTGGTAAATGGCTCATGCTCCTTTCCTTGGTCAATGTAGATGTCATCTCCATTGAAAAGACTGGTGAGAATTTCCGCCTGTTGTATGATGTGAAAGGTCGCTTCACTGTACACCGTATCACTGGTGAAGAAGCCATGGTGAGTTGCATAATAATATTTCTCTTTCCCAAGATATTTTGTCAGTCATCCTTGAATTAGAGATCATCCATTCTACCAATAACATGTGGTTGTAAAATACAATCTTTGGATCTGGCAAGATTTCTTCATGATAAACAAGGGAACTTTAGTGGCAGTTTGTCTTAATTTGTTCTTTGATCGTTTGTATTTAAGCTAAGCAGCCTTAACACATTGACACCTGAACCACCCGTCACCGCCCGAACCTCACGATTGCCTCTCGAGAGAATGTTTTCCCCCTACCTCCCCTACTAAGTAGAGTTTTGTCCCCAAACTTCCTCTATAGTTTAGAGATCAATAAGCCCATCAGAATCCATCGTTTGCGCATATATTTTGTCAGCTTTAGGGGGTACTAGAGGGGCATTATCAGGGCATAAAATTGCACCTAATACAGGTGCCAATGCAACTAAATTTTTTACTTTGGTGACCAAATCCTTAAACAATAGTGTTTCTGTCGAGGAACTATCGGCTGATAGTTGCCCCTCGGAAATTTGATGATGTTAAAACAAATATTTGCCCAAGAAGTGAAGCTTCGAGGGCAAATATGCTAGTTTTAAGAACATCAAGAAAATAAGAAAATATGCTAGTTTTATGCTTATAACAGCAAATCAAAACTGTTTTGAATAAATCTGATGTCCTAAAAGATTTCTTGGCCGTTTAAGTTTTGCTTCCTATTGATAGATTCCATGGAACTTGAGATATCTTCACTCAAGGACAAATTTGCATATTCCCTTTTGAAACATGATCTACATGCCCATTTTCACACATGTGGAAATATTTAGTGATTTTTATATTTCATCTTGATTTTTGAGTTAAAACGTAATATGCACCTATCACTTTTTTCGCCGGAAATAAGTTCTTTAATTATTCTTCTTTCACTGGAGCTTGTTTTTTGATTTTTAAATATTTACTGCACATTGTGTTTGCCTTCTTGGTTTCTCCAAAAGTTTGACTTTTTGTAGGCATGTGTTACAGGTAAGTGTCAATGGCTTAACCTGGACCCTTTGTTATGAATGAACCTTTAGCATACAGTTCTTTGTGTACACCTGAACTTTAGCTGCCTACTTTATTACACATTAGGGATAAAAATATATATACATCATTTAGCTGAAGGAAGATACAAGAAGTTTTGGTTTTGACCATCAACCCTTCATATTGACCAGTTTTATTTCATATCTTCAAACTTTTAACATTTCTTTCCAGACACAGAGACACTCCACTCATCCAAAGTGATGTATGACTTAGGGTAAGCTCCTTCTAAAATTCGTTTGTTTGACCTTGCAGTACAAGCTAGGTCAAGTGCGACGTGTGGCCACTGGTGCCAAGGGTGTGCCCTACCTTGTTACCCATGATGGGCGTACCATCCGCTACCCCGACCCTCTGATCTCTCTGCATGACACTGTGGTAATAGGAATCAAGACTGGGAAGATCATGGACTTCATCAAGTTTGATACAGGAAATCTGGCCATGGTTGTTGGTGGACGCAACATGGGCCGAGTCGGAATTGTTACTCATCGTGAGAGACACGCAGGTAGGTAATTGATAGTATGATCAACTGAAAGTAGTAATGTAACAATTGATTTCTTATCTCATGTAAACAAGGCTGCATATTATGCATGTTCTGCAAAAGATCCTGGGTATTGGCTCTTAGAATTTTGCCAAGAATGTATAGAAGAATCACACTGACTCAAAAATTTTTCTGTGATGTTTTGAGTTTCCAGAGCTTCTCAAACATAGTGTGGAGCATCTTCTGTTAGATCATCTGAAGCTATCTCATGGAGTTTCTAACTGAGAGATTGAGTGTACTTTCAAAATCCAAACTGATATACCGGTATATTCATACAAAAAGATATTTCCTTTTGTCCAGGACTCTGTCCTTTTTAACTGTTATTAATCCCTGGGTTAGGATTCATCATAAACATATTTTCTGTTAAATTTGAAATACAATTAAGTATAATTGATAGAACCTGAATTCAAATAGACTCCAAGGTTTACAGATACTCCTTGAAATGTAAAACTGTACCAGAAATTACTTAAAGTTGAGTAGTTGTTAGGCATTAAGGCTCCTTGTCCTTGATTAATATAAATTCTCAATTAAAGGCACAAGATCAGGGGTTTCATTAAGGGCCAGGCACTGGGCAAATTGACCGGTTGTGAAGACGGTTTTGCCCACCTGATTTGACATTCTGGAGAAAAGTTTATCTTATAAAGAAGTTCAGTTCAAAGAGTTTTGCCTGCCTGTGAAAACCAGTTGCCCTCCAGCAGAAAACATTAATGAAACCCCTGCAAGATGTTAGTTTCTTTTAAAGCTTTCAAACCAATATCATTCAACCAATATCTCAGCAAGTGTACATCATTTCCAGGTTCATTTGACATTGTCCATGTGAAGGACAACACTGGCCATCAGTTTGCCACACGTATCAGTAACATCTTCATCATTGGCAAGACCAACAAGCCACATGTATCCCTGCCTAAGGGTAAGGGTGTCAGGCTCACTATTGCTGAGGAGCGAGACAGAAGACTGCAGGAGAAGGCCAAAATGAGCTCCATGTAAAATTGTTACAGAAGGACCACAAATAAAAGTTCCGCAAATAATAACACCTTACTGATTGTATCTCTTTTGATGACTGAGTATATGGAATATATTAAGAAGTGAACATCAAAGCGATCGCAGTAATGAACACTACACCTCTTGAGCTTCTAGCTCAAGTAGTGTTCATTACTGCAAATATCGCTTTGAAGTTCATTTGTATTTGTATCTCTTGTTGTTTTGTTGCTGTTTTTTTTTTTTTCTTCTCATTTGGTCTCGGTTTTGAGTGTTTCTCGGTTTCAGAGAAGATTATTTAGTTCCCAAACTTTGATTGAAAGATACGGGAGTTGTTATGAAATGCCCAATAGAGCATCCATTTTACATTTGTTGTAAATAATTGAGACTCTCAGAGATCCTGAATGAATGGCAAAGACTTTTTTCGAAAATTAATTTTCTCCTTAAAAACTTTGGAAAAAGGAAAATGCCTTCGGCAACAATGACAAAATGTCTCGCTTTTAAATGCCAGCTCATTATTTTCGCAAATTTCGCTAGAATTTAAACCTCTCACGCTTGAGCCCGCGTTGCCGACCGCATACCTTTGCTATTCAGCTCTGTCCTGCCGCAACAAAGCGTTCAAACGTCAGGCACGCGCAAGGGGATCAATTCTGGCCGACCGCGAGCCAATATCCCGCGCTAAATTTCAAAGGAAACACTGTCTCGCAAAATTGAAACGTTCATAAAAAATCTGTAAAAGGAAACTAAAGTAGGGAATAGGAAAACTCGGGACTTTTCAAACACAAAGCTTGTTCAAGTACGGGTATCCTGTTGATTTACCACTCCGTTTTGAGCTTTATCAAAAAAGTTGTAAGTCTTTTAAAAAATGCGACTTACTGGTTTGTGTGGTCGATCCTAGCCGCTTGAAAGCTTTACGACATTCGCACATGCGCAGACATTGGCCGCTGTGTTGTCAAGCAAACAAACATATCGTATTCAATGACGTCAAAAACAATTATGATGTCACATTATTAGCGTTAACATGACGACTAAATTTCTTGACTTGCTCGCTGCAATGGAAAATTCGTCTTCCAGGTTCTTTCAAGGATTCTCACTTGAGGATTACAGGCTTCAAGCTCTTTTTAAGACACTGGAAAAGGAGAAAAAGCAATGTTTGAATCAGCTGAAGGAGCAAACACACCTATTCAAAATGTCTCTCCGTCCACCAGTGAAGTCAGGAGAAGAATATTGGAGCCAGTATGGAGAAAACTATCACGCCAATGGAGACAAAAGAGAAAGAGATTCTGTTACTCATCTGAGTGCAGAACTCAAAGAAGGTCGGTTGACTCTTTTCGCTTACTTTTTTTTTTCCTTTCGGCAGCATTTAGTTGGGTAACCATGCTGCTACCCAACGTTCTTAAGCTCTACTTAATCATGAACATCACGCCTTTCATCGCGCGTTTGGAGCTAGTTTGTGACGTGCACTGCATTAAATTCTCAAAATTACAGGAGGACGTTGGATATTCCATTCTTCGGTCTGTGGTTGGTCCAGAAAACTCAGCACCGACTCAACCAATCAGTGACTTGAATTTTCCCGCGCTTTAGGCAGTAGCATTGTGAGTTTTAGTCTTATCTTTTGTGGTATTTCCTTTGAATGCGACTGGTGTGGTGATTATTGTATCGAAATGCTTTTTATGGCTCTCAGGTGGTCAAATTACGCCAACTATTATATAGGACCCCATCCTACCCCCACCTATCACTTAAGAAATGCTCTTTTTAAAAAGTTGACTTTAACGAGCCATGAGCGATGAATGTTTCCTTGCTCTATGCGTTCGATGAGAGGCCAGATCTCCCTGCGCGCATAAAGTTTTGTAGTTCGATAGCAAATGCAGTGTAAAAAAATCCAATAGCGAAAGAAAAGAAACTAGAGTCCGAACTCCGTAGAAAATATGTAATTAGAATGATCACAACATACGGTTTGAATAACTTCAGTACTTAAACTTCGTAAAAATTCCAAATTGAGGGATTAATATAAGTGTGAACGAAAACTCAAAAACAGCAACCAAAACTAAACTCCGTAAAAGAAAAAATCTAAAAACGCCACGGCGGTTTTTCCAATGTCAAGACCAAGGCCAAAGCCTCCCGACGTGATCGGCTAATTCACTGATTCTATTTTGCTCGTGCAACGGACTTCGCCGAAAAGGAGGGACTGCTGAACCGCTCGTAGTCTACAGGTGTACTTGTATTATCACTTTCTTGCAATCTTTCATACATTTTTGTAACTTCAACTTTTTTCCTTTTTTTGCTCTCCACAAGATCTGAATAAGAACAACACTATGCCTGTCAGCCCCAAAATTAACAGCCCGGCAGAAGATGAACATTGTGGATTGAATCCATCTGGTAAAAGACCAAGATACTTCCAAAGGAACAAAAGTAAACAAAATGCCGACAGAAATGCTCAAAGAAAGAAAAAGCCAGAGTCAATAAGCTTAACATTACTGGAAATATTATGTTCCGACGTTGAAAATGGTGTCCTACTAACAAAGACTGGAAATCATAGCTACTCTGGCTGTGAAGCTAGCGAAAAATGCTTTAAGGATGGTGTTAGCCGAATTCGATCACAATCAAATCAAGAAGAAAGACTCAACGTTGTAGGCCAACCGGAGGTCAGAAATAGATCCACATCTACGAGTTCTGCGGCAGTACATAACTTTGAGAACTCTCTGAAATCACCATCATCGACTGACCTAAGCTGTCAGGTAACTAACACTTCAGAGCTAGAGAGATCTGTACAAAATCTAAGTTTAAGTTCTGTGCATTCCAAAATCGATTTCTGGCCTGGTGAAACCCCAAAAAGTTCACAGTCGACAAAAATTAACATCAGAAAGGACGTGGCACGTAATTTGGAATCCTCTAGGAACTCAAGCACCACGAAGAACGAAAGGAGCATGGATTCTGATGGGTCGGGAAGTTGCAGATTCGTGCATTTTAGCGATGGGCGCAAGCTTAAAAAGAAAAAAGGGAAAAAGAAAGACCCGGGTACGAAACAAGCCAATGACAAACTGAACAGGACTGAAAGCTCGGACGTTAAATTTTTCCAAATTGATGTTCCACCAGGTTCGAACAGAGGAAAATCGCAGGTGAGCAAAATGGGCTATGATAAGATCAAGATTGCTCTTGAAATCAAAAATTCAAAATGATTGTTATTCTGTCTGAGAATAGCGAGGATCACCCAGCATATTTTTGGGACAATGTGTTTTTTTTTTTTAAGCTCAAGTTTAGCTAAATACACTTATACGATGATTAGAAGAAAAGAAGTCCCTCCTTCCCAGCTTTTCTCGCAGCGCCATGTTTTAACGACTCGCTCGACGGGTGCGGATTACGCTGGAAAAGAGTGGCTAGACTGCTCGTTGCTTTCTGGGCCGTTTTACTTAATTTCCTAGCAAAAAAAAAAGGAAAAATAAAAATATAAGGAACCTTTGGATGAGAACTTTTCTCAAGTGGTATAGACTAGAATTAATTAGTTGCATTTGAAACTGTCTCATCCAGACATCCACCTCCCCCCCCCACTCCCCCACCCCTACTAACACACCCTCTGCCCTTTCCGTTTACGCGCGCTGTTTAGCAAGAGGGCCAATTGATTGACGATGATTACATCTTCACTCTTTCGTTTCAGGAAGAGATGGCCAAGGAGACCAGGGAGAAAATGGATCAATTCTTCGCCAAAGTAGATCGCACAAAGAGTTTTCAAACAAAAAGGCTAAGATGGCGCTGTGTCAGTGGCAACAGCGGACGTAGTGCTTGGAAAAGGGAAAACAAGGCATGTTTGGATCAGGAGAAACTTCTTCCTCAAGAAATAAAGAACGTAAAAGGCTACCGTCGAGCTCATCCGTGGCCAACTCAAGTTTGGAGCTAAACTGAAAAGGTTCTTTACGAGGTTCAACTTCTAGTATTAATATCATGTGTTATGTGCTATTTGTTGCATCAGGATGAAACTAAATTTTAATGTCGTTGTCGTCATTTCACTAACTTATTCCAACTTAAAATAGTTTTGAAGCTGAATATTTTTCGGTTAACACTGAAACACGAGTAAGACAGCACATTACCCTTGTCTTTAACTAGTTACAGCGGTATTCCGTCCAGGCCGTCAAGTAATTCTTTCAAAATGTTTCCTCGCACTTTTATTCGGGCAAGAGATTGTAAACGGTTTGTAATCTCTTGATTTACATTACAAACATTTACATTGCTGCAAATTGGTTAACTGTTAATTTTTACTTTGTGCAACATACTCCATGGCTCTTCAACAGTCAATTACAACCCCGTTTTAAAACGACACCATACAAAGACACTCACAAGAATGCGAAAGACAGTTCAGTACAAGCCAAGTAAACTAACATTCTTCACTTCATCGGAAGAACTTGAAATCGCTTTGAAGGGATCTACCTCACATTATTTAATCTCATTTTTGCGACGTCCAAAACTGTCTTTGCCTTAAAGGAGATGGTGATAAATTTTGTCACTGAGAGAGAAAAACACATAGAAGACAAAAATAAACAAAGGATGGATAAACTGGCGAAGATAAAAGTGCACTGCCTGTGAAATCCTGAAAAATATAACCTAACAACTCTCAAAACGCGTACACGGTAAATTCGCGCAGCAAGATAACAAACTAACAATGTGTGACAGTCTGTTTTGCACGAAAAATTTCTAAAGACAACAAAAGTTTTTTATCCAAAAAAGTTGACTTTATTCGGTATATAAAATGATCCAAGAATTCGTGCTATCTTTTTCTTTCTTTCTTCCATCTGTAAACTGGCGTAGATTTTTCGTCTTTGTGTATTTTCACTCGTCTGCCTTTGCCCTGAAAACAGGCACACGATTTTCATCAGAACATCAAACAGCTAATTTCAAAGCTACTTGATAGATTTAACTACATCTTTAAAATGGTAAAGATCAGTGTTCCAGTGGAGGGCTACTCCAATTGTTTGAAAGCGGTTACGGAAATTCTCCCCGGAAAAAAGGCGAAAACACCACCAAAAGGAAACTCTTAACTCCAACACGAATAAAGATCATTGAAATGAAACTCCACAAAAACTTAAAAACGCCAAAAAATGTACACGTAATAAACGGCCACCATGTGTTTTCAAATAAAAAAATCTCAAAGGGTGGTTCTGTCTTTTTTACACTATACTATAACATAACCAAAGTAAAGTGCGTGCTCAATATCAGTGTCCTCTATTTGCCCACGGGTGTTTGCTGCTGACGTGAGCATATGCAAAGACTAGTTTTTCGCGCGCGCGCGCGCTTGTTTTTCCTGGTCACGTTAGACTTGTTAAATAAACTTGGGGACTCTTTTCCTACAACGTATCAATGTTATGTCAAGAAGCTAGAGTCGCTCTCAGCTATCGCATGGCGCGACTCTTACGCTTCTTTCGTACTTAGCAAACTCCCACGTGTATCCATTTAAACTCAACAGTGTTCACTTTGGTGTTTACCATATTTTGACAAGAGTTTGAAGCTCTTGTTGATTATAATTTCGTCACTACATTTACCTCATATCAAATAGCCAGTGATTAACTGTGTTTACGGTGACAAGCAATGAACTCTACTCTTCACTTTCAAGTATCTACCATTCAAATGGGCCCTGTGCTTTCAGGTTTCTACAACTGGTTCTCAAAAACTAAGTTTGGAAGCTTTCCAAAGGAAAAAAAACTGTGATCTTTTTTTTTTTTTCGTGTTATATCATACCATCAGGTGTTTTTGAAGCTCCAGTTCCTCACACATCTTTTGCATTTTCCTCTCGCGTTCAATTCTTTCTCTTAATTCTTCATAACAACGATGCCTTTGTTTTCCAAGTCTCTGCAAACTATACAGGTTACTTTGGTTATTATTGAAGATAAAAAAACAGAGAGAACAAAACAGGAAAATTTAAAATCAGTAGGCGGTGGCTTGGTTCCATACCAAAAGGTTGTTTTCTTTTTTCGTTCTGTGAATAACATACATGGGACAAAGATTATAAAGTAATGCTACTGTGTCAGTTCTCTATCAAAATTAGCTTGGAGTGCAAGCGTCTTATCAGGGCGAGTTAAGGTTATAAGCTCCTGATCATTCATCCAAACGCCATGTTTGATTTAAAGTCAGAGTGGATGATGGGGGTAGGGGTGGGTAATTTTCACTCCCCCACCCCAGCCCCTCTCCTTATTTTTGACCATCGCTCATGCCCCTTGGTACAGATTACTTTCTCTCCCGAGCCTTACCGTACCATTAAAATCAAAGATGGTGGCTATCTTTCGCTAAAAAATACTGAGCACTCGTTGTCAAAATTTATCACTTGATTTGTTTTAACCCTTTACACCCTAATATCAGTATTCATATTCTCCATACTGTTCTCTTTACATTTCCTAAGGCACTGCCAAGCAGAATTTTCTTCTTTAGTCAATGATCCTTTCCTTTATTCAAAGTGATTGTACATGTGTAATGTGTTTTTCATGGATGATATTGTAAGGAGAAATTAGAAGCAGGTCACTAGTAAGGGTCACAGGGTCAAATTGGCTTCGAAAACATAAATGTCTTTTCTTGAAAAGGGTGACCTATCCTTGAGTGAGACCCCTTTTCTATCAATAGGACCAATGAAAATATTGAAATTCTTAAATCATTTCTTGAATATCACCAAAGCCAAACTCTGCCCCTGACCCTTTCTAAAGTGGAAAAAAAAAATCTCTGTGTACCTGAACGGTTTGTTCATCTGGAGTTTGCACAAGATGTCTTTTTAGTGTTTCTTTGGTGGGCCTGTTGTATGCTCTTGTCACAAGTTCAGGCACAGTGTCAAAGTGTGCAGCAGCATCAAAACACTGAGCTAAAGGACAAAAACACAAGCAGTCATTGAAGTAAATACCACTAATATTAAATGCTTTTGGGACTATATGCGGTTCTTTTCATGACAAAATTTCCGTAAAATCTGCACAGTCTGGGATATCTCAATAAATTAGGACAGCTATGGTGCCATGAAGCTATAGTTCTAAAGGAAAATGGTGGACTTTTCATCCAGGACTTTTTGGGGAAAATGGTGAGAAGAAAGATTATCTGCCATTTTTGAAGTGTGAGAAGATGACAGATGTCAGTTTTTTTTTATGTAAAGAGACGATTTAGTAACAATTTTGTGCTCAAATACAAAGGTTGAAGACATATCTTAGGTTAAGGGGGACCAAAGCATAAAATTGAAGAATGACAAAATTGTAGCCATTTTGGATAAAAAGTTCATAAAATGCATATTGCTTTGATTTATTAAAATGTACAAAATGTGCATACCTTCTTTTTCACTATCCACAAAAACTACATGCTGATTCACTGGACGGACATCATCATCTCCCAGTAAATGAAGACTGGCTTGAAGTTTTTCTATTTTCTGGTTGAAGAAAGTAACATCTGTTTGACAGTGTTGTGACTGTCAGGCAGACTCAGGGGAAAAAAGGGGTAAGTTTCTAAACGAACGGTGGTGCTGCCTGGGTGTGAGTAACAAGGTAATTTGATTTTAACAACTGAGATGTAATTTGGCCACCATAAAAAGTTTGAAACCTGACGTTTCGAGCATTAGCCCTTTGTCAGAGGGAACGACTAAGTAAAAATGACCCAGACTCAGTGAAAACATGCTTACAATCATGTTACAGTACAAACCACTAGGCATCCATGAGGTATCACAGAATTTACTTGATTCATTCAAACACTTACTTAGGCCAGCCAGTCTTAGAGACTGGGACTTGCCTTAGACTGATTCAATTCACTATGGGAAATATAACTACTACCATTTACCTTTGCTTCCATGGATCTTTTAGAATTAATGTAGTTAAGGTCCTGTGTTTTCATGTGCTTCAGTGCCTCAGCAGTGTGTGTCTTTCCTCTCTTTACACAATGGATTCCATCCTACAGTTCAGAACCACTTATTGTTAACTCTGTGAAGCCTATGGTCTAAGAATGACTACATTTAATTTCTCCTTAAAAAATCTCTTGAATCACTCATGAAGGTCACAAGAATAGGCAAAATAATCACCAACAAAATAAAAATAAAATAAACAATTTATTCAAAGTTGATAATGTAGGAAGTGGTTGCCCAATCTTCTGAGCCGGTGGCTTATGTTAAAAAACACTGGACTCCAGATTGAATTGGTCAATTGCAGAGGGAGAAAAACCAGAGGACCCAGAGATAAACCCTCAGAGCAAGGACAAGAACCAACAACAAACTCAACCCAAATGTGATGCCAGGTTTGGGAATTGAACCTGGGCCCCAGTGGTGGGAGGTGAGTGCTCTCACCACTGTGCCATCCCTGCTCCCCAAAACCAAAGAAGATGTTGGTTGTTGAACAAATTCTCCTTGTGCAAGCCTTAGGAAATGTATGGAGAACAGTATGGAGAATATGCATCATGTTGATGCTAGGGGTGTAAGGGAGCTAACTTAAAAGCACTATTTCACAACCAGCTCCGAACCTTTTCCCTTCCAGGATTGATCAAAAAGGACCTCCTCCACATATTATCAATTGACGCATTTTTAGGCAGAAAAGTAACAGGAAGAATACAGGATTGGTTTTGACTTGATTTAATTTCACACCAATTCTCAGGGCTAAAATCATACAAAATCTAGGGCAGACAGTGCCAATAATTGGCACTTCAAATTTCAGGAGTAGTGGTGGGATGAACAGTCCTGCCACTGCTACTAGGGTCAATTGAAAGCCAGACCAAAAAATTGACAAAAAAAGATTCAGATGGAATGTGTTGCTCCTTTCCTATAAACAGATTAATCAGTTTTGTAAAAGTGACCCTCTCTGATAAAAGTAGCTGCACTGTAACACAGTCATGATGAAACAACAGAATATATACATGTTTCCTTACCTTGGTTTTGCTGCTGATCATCTTGAAGTAAAATTCATCAGGATTCTTGTTTAATGCCTGACAGCAGTGAAAGAAAACTTATATATTTTAGCTACATAATGGCACTTTCAATTTGAGATTACTGTTTTGCAAAGTGTTATTTTTAGTTGAATGACATTCACCATAAATATAACTGATTAGATCACAAATACAAGTGGTATCACTACAACAAAAATGTCAACTCACTTTCTCTTTTAGAAGTTTGAGAGCATTTTGTTTTTTATGATAGTCTCTGCAAAAAATAAAAGCAACAATAATCAAAACAACATGGAGACTTCTGGTCAATACATGAGTAAATATGATACCTTAGTTCCTACCCCTTTTTCAGAGACAAATTTTAAGGACTTTTCAACAACTCAGGTTGAATTTTCCAGGGATCCAAATTTCACCTTAAACTCTTTCACCCCCAAGATTTAAAAATCAATTATCCTAGCAGTCTATATATGCATTTCTTATAAAATAAATTCTGACAACTTTATTGCTTGAGTTAATCAGATTTCCAGGACTTTTCAGGACCTGTTGTCTTTTCCCCAGACTTTCTAGTCCTGGAAAATATCAAAATAAAATTCCAGGAGCTTCCAGGTTTTCCAGGACTGGTACAAACCCTGTAGTTTAATGGTCGGCACAGTTGACTCTGCATGAAGAGGATCTAATTAAAGTTGTGCCTGTAACATTTTGTTGTATATTCTTGGGAAAGACACTTTATTCCCACAGTGCTTTTCTCCATCCAGGAGTTTAGATAGTGTCACTGTTGTCTGAGTTAATTATTAGCATTAGTGAGGCCTTCATTCTTATCTACTATCAGAACCTTATGTGTAACCTTTAAGTTCTTTGTCCATGTGAAAGGTTCTTAATGTTAATTTATGAAGTCTGTTGGATCAGAACATTTTACTGTGTCAGTCTCAAGTTTTTTTAGTCTTTTGTTCAGGTAAACAGAGAGTAAAATGTTTAAATACAGCCCCAGACAAAATTCTAATCATAAGTTTGCTTGGTATAGAATAGAGAAACAGATATTAGAATCATCGAAGTGTTTGCTGATATCCCTAGCCTATACCATGCAAACTTACCATTACTCCTGGTGTCGTGTATATTGTGTTATTTGTGCATAGCTTTACTTGTGAAGGGTGCCTTGTTAGAGCACTTGCTATCAAGAAATTCAGCTGCACGTGACTATTAGAAACATATCATGTCTTCTAGAATATTGATGTTATGTGTCAATTATCTTTTTCAAGAGACAGTTTGTTGAGTGCAAAGTTTACAAAGAAGATAACATTTCCTAAGGCTCTCAGAGAATTTCTAAGTTCAGTTTGTTTCACTGTATTGCTTGGAAGTCTGAGAATTAAATACTGACTAAGTCTTTACATTCAAAAAGAAAACTGTCTGTAAAATCTGACGAAATAATGAGAAGTTATCTACAATGAACTAGCACCCATACAGGATGAATACAGTACACAATTACCAGTCACTTTCCTGACAGGTCAACTGGCTGCCAACCAACTCAACGGCACCATTCGTCAACTTGTCAACATCTTTGATCAACTACAAGTGACTGAGTACCCAACTTGATGACTGACAGCAAGTTGACCAACAATATCATCAGGTTGGTTGTTAGTGAGTTGAATTGCACGCAAAGTAAACAGTTACTCAGAAGACACACTCCTAACTGCTCAGTGTAAGAGAAGCCACTCAGTATTGACTTCATGAATAGAATGTAATGATGGCTAGAGTGATAAAAGTCTGTTCAGCATGTGAAATCACTACATATATCAAATATATCAAATGCATCTGTGGGTGACTCACTTTGCACGCAAGACATAGTCTTTATGCTTCTCAAGAAGACCATACTTTTTTCTGCTTTTCAACTGAAAGAGAATTTGAAGTTTGGAAAATATAAATTTTAAGATCGTGGGTATTTTTGTGATGAAGCTGTTTAACTATTTCAATTCTAAGACCTGAAAGTTAATTCCCAAATTGTATTCTGTTAAAGAGAGCCATGATATATTAGCTATTTTGCAGAGATAGAAATTTAAACATAGGGCTTCTCCGGATCCAGTGAACAATGGAATAGTAATAGTAATTTGACATCATATATTGATTAATTTGTGAATTTTCTTTCCTGTCACAGTTGAAATCTAATACCACTAGCGTGTGTCGAGAATCCAGGAATTGCCAAACGATTCTTTAAAACATAGAATCGCTGGATTCTAAGTACATGCATGTGTTCAAGCATACGCGACCCGATATGACTGCTTTTTTTGATAAATTTGACTAAAATTCATCTCCTTACTGGTATAAATTAAATAAATTCCTCTGACCCACACCAAGCTTTACTACTCGAAGCTGCATTTAGGGAGAGATTTTAATCATACCTGTCCCCTTTCTTTATGAAACTTCTGATAAGACTTCTTGGCTTTCTCGAAAGACGCCATCTTTGATTAGTTCGATTAGTTATCAATTATTCGCTCAGAGCCCGCGAGATTAGGAGGTCCTTGGTTACAATTTGAGCAAAGAATTCATTGTGTAAACTATCGTGGTCTATAGTGGGGACTGGTACTTACTCTAATCACTCATTCGGTAAGTTTGCGCGCCATGTGCGGAGCGGACCTTCTGAAATGGCGAATGTTGGAGAAACGATAGCAAAATATGTAGGGCACAAGGTATCGAAGGTTCGATGGATTCCGGAAGAAAAGGGCCAGTTGAATCCTTCCGACACGTTTGTTACAGGCGGCTGGGACGACCAGGCAAATGGAACTCTTTAAAACATGATCTTGCTATCAATAATTTGACAGTTAGACCGCGCGTAGGGAAGAAATTATTTGTAAGACTCTCTGTATTATAACTTCTTTAGATTAACAAGTTATCAATCTGGAAAAACGAGGAACCAAGTGGAGAATCAGCAGCTTCCTTCGCTGTCGCAAATGAACCAAAATTGTTGTGTGACACTAATTTCATTGGAGATGTAACGGACATCGAGGTAAGTTATATTAAAATGGTAATAAGCCGATCTGCTCAACTTCTCACTGAGCAATGAAGTATATTAATTATCAGTAACTGAATTCAATTCCGCACTATTTTACCCCTTTTAACTCGCACAAGTCATCAACAAGTAACTTCTCCCCATAATATTTATACACTATCAAGTAAATAGGTAATGAGAATACTCAAACTTATGAAGAAGTTGTTATCTTGATCTAACACCAAAATCTCGTCCGTAGTTTAAAAGGATATGTGTAGCAGCTCAAGGGAGAATCAGGAATCTAATCTTAAGGCTCGTTCAAATGGTCATGATAGATAACAGTTGATAATAGTTTCAACTAACACGCGTGTTTGAACACAAACTGCCATGCATTATCATTCACTTTTATCAGCTATCATTTAGTTTGGACCTGTTCAAACTCAATATGATGGTTGATGACAATGAATGATAATTCTTTTGGTCAGCAATTTTGCCAAAAACGGGCTCAAACCACGATGGCAAATGGAAAAATGACTGAAGTAGCTGTCAGAATTTTGCAGAATGTGTCGAAATTCATTCTTATTATCTCCTGTAGTTTCTTTGACTTGCAATTTGTTGACTAAAATTTCAAATGCCACCAAAATTGCTGAGCTCAGCACATGCCTTATTTGTTTACAGTTACTCTGTCTCATCATGTGATTTTGTCAACAAGCATCAACTATCATGATCATTTGAATGCGTTTTTTCTTTTTAACTCAGCTCGGTTTTACAAGATATATAAGTTAAATATACATAGCAACTGAACACAGTACAGCAAAGGAATAAGGAGAAAAAATTTAGCAATAGAGTAGGTAGCTAGTTAGGATCATCCAAATAGCAAAGGCTAATCTAGTGGATGACCCCTAATTATAAGATATATTTAATTAATTATTAAGGGAAAAATTAAGAATAATTTTTAGCAGTGAAAGAGTGAAATGTGCTTGTTCGGGCCCATACCCACAGTGGGAGGATCTCACGCCCCCCCCCAGTGAGACTGGACTTATGATGGGACCACCCTGCTGAGGACATTTTTTGTTGCATTACTATTATGGTATATAAAAACGTGCTTTTTGCTCAAAGTTATTTTAGTAGTCTGAAGAAAATATTTTATTAGTTGGAACAAAACATTGTAGTAGTCTGAAAAGAACAGTGCTTGAATCGAGATCTATTATTGAGTTTACATGTGCAAGGTCCTTGGAATGTTCATTGTGATAAACTGAAGGTGGTGAAATAATTAACTTAAGTTCAGTTGGGAATAATATATAAATTCAACAACTTATAATTACAGTCAAGCCTGTGTTAAGAGGCACCTTATTAGTGGTCATCCTGTTTTAGGCAGTCAGTTGTCAGTCCCAATTTTTTTTTCCCCAATTACTGTAATTTTCACCTTTTTGAAACAGTGCTTCTTTTAAATTTCTTTGTCAGTGTTTTGATTCAGGGAGAATCCTGGTATCGTCTTCAGCAGGAAGTGTTAGCCTGTTCCAATATAGTTCAAAACACCAGGTTAGTGTAAAATATTTTGTAATACATGCAAATCAATTTATTCATATTATACAAGACTGAACTGCAGGCTGATATGTGGGTGTGCTCTATGGCAAGACACTTTGTTCTCCCAGCACTTTTCTCTACACAGGAGTATATGTAGGTAGGTAGGCTTCCCTGACAATTTGCCTGGTATCCACTGATACTCCTGGGTGAAGATAGGCACTATTCTCTACACAGGAGTATATGTAGGTAGGTAGGCTTCCCTGACAATTTGCCTGGTATCCACTGATACTCCTGGGTGAAGATAGGCACTATTCTCTACACAGGAGTATATGTAGGTAGGTAGGCTTCCCTGACAATTTGCCTGGTATCCACTGATACTCCTGGGTGAAGATAGGCACTATTCTCTACACAGGAGTATATGTAGGTAGGTAGGCTTCCCTGACAATTTGCCTGGTATCCACTGATACTCCTGGGTGAAGATAGGCACTATTCTCTACACAGGAGTATATGTAGGTAGGTAGGCTTCCCTGACAATTTGCCTGGTATCCACTGATACTCCTGGGTGAAGATAGGCACTATTCTCTACACAGGAGTATATGTAGGTAGGTAGGCTTCCCTGACAATTTGCCTGGTATCCACTGATACTCCTGGGTGAAGATAGGCACTATTCTCTACACAGGAGTATATGTAGGTAGGTAGGCTTCCCTGACAATTTGCCTGGTATCCACTGATACTCCTGGGTGAAGATAGGCACTATTCTCTACACAGGAGTATATGTAGGTAGGTAGGCTTCCCTGACAATTTGCCTGGTATCCACTGATACTCCTGGGTGAAGATAGGCACTATTCTCTACACAGGAGTATATGTAGGTAGGTAGGCTTCCCTGACAATTTGCCTGGCATCCACTGATACTCCTGGGTGGAGGTAGGTGCTATGAGAGTTGAATACTTTTCCCAAGAAAATAACACATACCAGGTCTCGAACACTGGGTTTCCCACCTTTTTTTCTTCAGGAGACAGTTAAATCTAACAGTGCTTGTTCTTTCACTTAAGAGTTAAAAATCTGCCCCTGATCAACTTTCTGCCAAGAAACTTGCAGTGAAGTTGCATCCCTGGTTAGTGGAGCTGATATGCTTCTGAAGTTTGGTAAAGGTCCAGCAAGCCTGGGTGTCTGTCTCACTTCGAAACTCTATCTTACTTTGCAGTGTAATCAATTAAGATTTTAGAACATACTAACTAACCCAATTCTGTTTCACGTGATCAGGGCTCGATANAGGAGTATATGTAGGTAGGTAGGCTTCCCTGACAATTTGCCTGGTATCCACTGATACTCCTGGGTGAAGATAGGCACTATTCTCTACACAGGAGTATATGTAGGTAGGTAGGCTTCCCTGACAATTTGCCTGGTATCCACTGATACTCCTGGGTGAAGATAGGCACTATTCTCTACACAGGAGTATATGTAGGTAGGTAGGCTTCCCTGACAATTTGCCTGGTATCCACTGATACTCCTGGGTGGAGGTAGGTGCTATGAGAGTTGAATACTTTTCCCAAGAAAATAACACATACCAGGTCTCGAACACTGGGTTTCCCACCTTTTTTTCTTCAGGAGACAGTTAAATCTAACAGTGCTTGTTCTTTCACTTAAGAGTTAAAAATCTGCCCCTGATCAACTTTCTGCCAAGAAACTTGCAGTGAAGTTGCATCCCTGGTTAGTGGAGCTGATATGCTTCTGAAGTTTGGTAAAGGTCCAGCAAGCCTGGGTGTCTGTCTCACTTCGAAACTCTATCTTACTTTGCAGTGTAATCAATTAAGATTTTAGAACATACTAACTAACCCAATTCTGTTTCACGTGATCAGGGCTCGATACTAATGGGTAACCCACTGGCCACAGACTAGTAGAAATTCAGTTTTGGCCCGTGGTTTTCGATTTGCATTAGCCAGTTTGGCTAGTAAACAAACTGAAATTGTCATAACACCTAAGATGTCACGAGACACTTGGCTAGTAAGTTGAAAAGTTAGTGTCGAGCCCTGCATGACACTCTTTGATAAGATTTCAAGCAAAGTAGTTCTCACAACAACACTGAAGCTTAAAGAAAAGAATATAAAAATCTTTTTGAACTTGTCAGGCCATCAGACCTGAGCTTGAATGGAATTCTCTCCACCATGTTGGAAGTCGTGGCTGTTCATGCACATGTCTTGCCACAAATTCTGGCTCCACTGATGTTGTATCTGCTGGTGAGGATGGAAGGATCAATGTATTGAAACTTGATCAGAGGCATCCAGTGAGAACAATAGGTATAAAACAGCTGAAAGTTATCAATGCGATGTTGTTGGCAAGGGTAGAACTGAAGAGGATTGTTGTTAGTGGCAGTTATTTATGTTTTGACAACCTGAGTGGAAGTCATATTCAGAGTCTGTTCTACTCGTGTTTTTCAAAATGTGAAGCTTTAGCCACTGTCATCCCCAGCAGTTCTCCTCAGTACTATCTGCATCTAGATGCTTCTACAAAACCATTGACTTTTATTTCTATAATGTAAAGTCAAGCCATGTAGTTCTCCTCAGTTTTATCTGCATCTAGATGCTTGTACAAAACCATTGACTTTTATTTCTATAATGTAAAGTCAAGCCATCTAGTTCTCCTCAGTACTATCTGCATCTAGATGCTTCTACAATACCACTGACTTTTATTTCAATAATGTAAAGTCAAGCCATGTAGTTCTCCTCAGTACTATCTGCATCTAGATGCTTCTACAATACCACTGACTTTTATTTCTATAATGTAAAGTCAAGCCATGTAGTTCTCCTTAGTACTATCTGCATCTAGATGCTTCTACAATACCACTGACTTTTATTTCTATAATGTAAAGTCAAGCCATGTGTCCTTCCTGCTTCCTGTACATTTATTTGTCTATTTATTTTTGCGTTGCTATGTGAATTGACAGGTCGGTTCATTGCTATGGGCATGGCCTTGTGTTTTTCAACAGTGAGTCGAGTTGAGTTTTGGAGTATCGCGAGCGAATAAAGTGATTAAAATATACAAATATCGAACCAGCCAAGTACAATTGTCATTCAACAACGACACCATGTAGTTCATACAGTGAAGATTGGAACTAATGCACCCTATTATGTCTTATTACACACATGATTGGTCAACTGGCCATATTTTACTGTGTGGCTTGTTAAATTCAAAGATTTGTTTTTTTTGTTTTGTTTTGTTTTTTTTTCTATTGAGATTTAATATATATCTTGCTATCCTTGTTTTCTCTGTCTGCACTGTAAGCTATGGAACCTGGCACAAAGCATGTGGCCTATAAATCCAAGCAGAAATTTTTGGTCTGTAACTTCCAGTACAGACACTGAATGTGGTTAGTAAGAGGTATTTCTGTTGGACTAGTGATTTTAAAGTATACTTTTCTTTTTGCATAGAAATTCTGACATCTTATGTTAAATTTGCAAGTTGTTCTAAGGGAGCTTGTAGTACCCCTCAGTATGCATGGTGTATGGGGTTATTACAAATTTTCAAAAAGTTTTAAATCTCAGGGGCTGGTTATGTGCCTCTTTCTGTTAAACAAGTCAACATTTGTAGTCTGTTCTCTTATTGACAGTGATATTGGTCATCTGAGTGGTCAAAATATCGTGCACTCATGAGGTACAACCAAGTGAGTCCACAACAAATTTCAACTGCAGTAAGGACGAATATCATTGCAGATGAAAGTACAGACCATGCTGAACCACTGTCAATTTGCTTTTTACCATAATATCAACATCAACTAAAACAACTCTTTCAGTACATGATCCATTGACTCAAGCAGTGTTGTCTGTACTCTTATCTGCAGCAGCGAATTGGCCAATGAGACAGCAACATTACTTCCAATTAGCCATTTTCTAAACGAGCAGCGGTCTGGGTATGATTTGCCACCATAAGGGCTCTTGGGATCGTTTGGAGTAACAACGTGAAGGTAAACAAACAGGGCGCACTATAACTGCTGTATTCCAGGCTGTACCAATAGTTAAAGAAATGCACCTAACCTTCAGTGTTATAGAATTCCTAAAGACCCTGATATACGTAGAAAGTACGTGGTTCTTATGAGGAACGAGACGCTGAAATTAGACTCTACGAGTACGTGGATTTTCTCAGCTCATTTCAATGGAGGAGAAAAACTTAGTAGAACACACTTGCCTTCAATTTTTCCATGGACAAACCGACAGCTCCACGTAGAGAACTCAAGAGGGCCAGTTTCAAATATGTGTAGAAAATGGAGCAAACCAAAAAAAAAAACAACAACACTTGCTCAAATTGCTCAAATTGCTCAAATTACCACTGTTGTAATTTGCTGTTCACCTCTTTGATGTTGTTGTTTTCCTTCTCCCACTCCTCCATCTCACCGATTAGCTTAACAATTTCTTGTTCACTTGTTTGTATTCTGTTATATAAACTGTTTAGTTGGTCACCAGTAAGTAATGTTTGTATTTACACGCTGGTACTAGTGTCAGCATTAATATTGATATTAATGCTGACACCAGTATTAATGTTAACATTATTATTTTCCAACTGTTCTTCAAATTTAAAGTTCACTTCCAGTGGTAACTGAGCAAGTGTTGTTTTCCTTTTTTTGGTTTGCTCCATTTTCTGCGTATCTTCAAAACTGGCCCTCTTGAGTTCTCTACGTGGAGCTGTCGGTTTTGTCCATGGAAAAATTGGAGGCAAGCCTGTTCTGCTAAGTTTTTCTCCTCCATCAAAATGAGCTGAGCAAATCTGTGTACTCGTAGAGTCTAATTTCAACGTCTCATTCTTCATAAGAACCACATACTTTCTAGGTATATATTTCTAGGGTCTTTAGGAATTCTATAATACTGAAGGTTAGGTGCATTTCTGTAACTATTAGTGCAGCCTGGAATACAGCAGTTATAGTGCACCATGTTTCTTTACCTTCATGTTGTCCCTCCAAACCATCCCAAGAGCCTTTGTGGTGGCAAATCATACCCAGACTGCCGCTCATTTAGAAAATGGCTAATTGTGGTAAAATTCAACTTCTCAAACACAAATGTATCTCAGCAAGTCGAAGAACCCTTTCAAAACGAAATCCTAAGACTTCAGGCTTTTCAAGATTTTATTGAAGGTTCAATCATTTCTGTTGGGTTAGCATTGATCCTCTAATAAATTTTCTTTAATTTTCTTTAAAATACTTTTCTAGATTCTGCAGACAGCACAACTATAAACAGTATTACATGTATAATGTCGCATGAAGTGGCTGCTGTAACATTCGGTGGTCAGCTTAAAGTTTGGGATCTTCGACAACCTGGGAGTAAGCCTGGAAGAACAATGTTACTGTGAGTGTTAGTTAATTCTTCAGTTCCCAGAAGTGTTTAACATCACACTTCTTCCCATGAGAACCACACATTCTCCAACAAAGTAGGTACTGAGCATACTCAAACTTATCAGGGAGGAATAATTTGAATATATCAACAAAGTTGAAATGGTAAATTGGCCACCGTTACGATTATTAAAGCTGACGTTTCAAGCGTTAGCCCTTCGTTACCCACACTGATGCAGCCCCAAACAGTTTCTTTAGAAACTATCAGCCTTTATCAGGGAGGAGTTGTTATCCTAATCTAACACCAAATTCTTGTAACCTACTCACAAGGGAATGTGTAGCGGCTGAAGGAGAGAGTTGTCAGTCAGATCTTGGGAGTTAAACACTGATTTTAGAGGATATGATTTATTTAGAGTTAATTAAGGTCAGTTTTTAATCCTCCTTGAGGGGATTAAAACTGACCTATTTGTTGATGATTTATTGTTACTTTGCTTTGTTTTGCTAAAGAAAAGAAATACTGAAAATAACATTCCTTGTCCAAGAATAGAAAAAAACATCTAAAACTTGTTGTGATCAAAGCTGTGCTTCTGGGAAAACAAGGTACCCAGGCTGTGCTAGAGGCTGCAATACTTTTTAAATAAAATTGAGTCAAACTGCTACCAAACTTTAAAATATAACAATTGCACAATATTTTGTGTATAGTTCTGGCGACCGTGTCTCACTGCTGTGTGTTGACAAACACCCAACACAGCCACACCTACTTGCAGCAGGAGGTCAGGATGGTGTACTGAGTATTTGGGACATGCGCCAAGAACTGTATCCTGTCACATTACTGGAAGCGCATGCTGCAGAAGGTTAGGCACCCTTTCCAAGTTTTGTTATCCTCTCAAGCAAATTACATAATCTGAATTGCCAGAACATAGAGGCTTTTTGACTGCTACTGAAAATTTCAGAAGCTATTGTTTTGTGGGCATCAGTTACTGCACCTGTCTGTAATGTGCAAACTGCCCAAGAGGTGTCATGCTACACTGCTTTCTAAAAATGGAGGGACTGGAGATTAATGTGAAGTCTGAAGGCTTCATCTTGACGAAACCAAGCAGAAAGTTGGTTTTGTTTTGTAAATTGTATTTTGTGCGGGATGTAAACACATAAATATTGTAAAATACTTGCTCTACAGCCATGGAACACAGGTTGCTAAATTAGTGACTTTTGATGCTAAAAGGCACCAAAGTTCTCCTTTTTTCAGCTCAGAGCTATAGTCAGGTGTGATCAAAAGAGAAGTTTAAGACATCAAAGTTTGCATGCAAGTGGGTTGACACTTTTCAAACTTGAAGTGGTCATTCATGTTGTTGTTGTTTTTTTTATCAGTATGGGATGTGAAATTTCACCCTCTAAGCCCAGACAACTTATTCACATGTTCTGAAGATGGATCTCTCTGGCACTGGGATGGAGCCTCTGTGGCTGTCCAGAGCACCACAGCCATGCCCGGTTTTAATTCAAGTCACCTCAGCAGTATTGGCAATGGTGCAGGTGCTGGGGGAGGATATGACAGTACAAGTCCTTGGTTATCGGTCGATGCTACAAAACATAAAATGGAGACATTCTCTCTTCTCCCATATAACAGACTGTCAATCAACACGCTAGATATCAAATCAACACACTTGTTAAGTGGGAGTGACTGTGAAGCTATTTTTATTGTCAAAGATCTGGTCATAAGATGATTATTTTTGTTATGATTAAAACTATTAATAATGTAATTATTATAATGTTTGTACATTATAGCTTTTACAACTTAATAATCTTTAGACTGTACAGTTAACTTTGCAGATCAATTTGTAGGAACAGACATTTCCTGGCATAAATGAGTAGCCATTCCACTTTTCACCTTTATGATCTCATTAGTAATACATGTATGTTCTTATTGACTAAATGGGAGGGCCAAATGGGAACATAATTGACTCAAGGTCATGGCATATGGACTGAGCATAGCAAGGTCTGTGCCTCATGACTGAGAGGCAAATATTTTCCTGACTAAACTCAGGCAATAAGTATTTTATCATATGACCACTGAGTGTTGAAAATTTCAACCTAAACAGGATGCAATAGACAGGCACATGAAGCCATGCGAGCCAAAAAAAAAAATTCTGCAATTAACTTTTTCTTTACTTTTACAAGTCTGAACAAGAAACTCCCAATTCCTTGAAAGATGTGACGATTTTCTCATTTCTGTTTTCCTTTAAGTTTTAGCAACAAAGCGACATGAGGGTAGCAGGGGCAGACAGCTTTTTGCAGACTGGCTCAAACAACCTGTCTGGCCCTGCAGATGCGATCTTTCACCATGGTTTTCCATGGGATTGTGCAAGCAGGGCCAAATGAGTCATATGATAATTCTCCTAATCATATGCCTTAGAGTTCTTATGTTAGTTTTTTCAACTAATAATCCCTCTGATTGATGTATTTCTATATTCCCATCACTTGTCTGCCTGATATTGATATTGTAAAGAGGAATTCTGTCTTGGTCACCCATGAGAGCTAGGGGGTTAAAACTCAGCTACAAAATAACATATTTTACTGATTAATTAGTATATATTAAAATTAAACTCTTGAGAGAAGATTGCTATTTTTGGAAATTATTTTAGTTTTCCTTAAAGCATCAAAGAGTATCTTATTCTATAGACACTTGGCCCATTATTAACTTTGGGGCAAGTGTGGAATTGCTTTGTCTCACCCATCAAACTTGTTTGGGAAGTGAAAGACATTGAAAAAAAAAAAAGTTTTTCATGATTACCAGGAAGTAGACAGCTCTGCTTACCAGCCAGAATTTGTAATAGAAAGCTAGCAGATAGTGTTTGATTCTTTTAGACCATTATTCTGAACACAGGATAAAGATAACGTGGGGGAGGGGGTGCAATGGTGGAAGAGGAGAAGTTCATTCTTGTAATTGTCAAAAAACTGACCTTGAAGCATTCTTCAAACTTCTATGAAATTAATTGGGAAGTCACTGAGACTTACAAACTCTCTAACACTCTCTGTGAAACTAATACAATAACTTGAAGTCTTGGAGAATAATCAGCCCTAAAATATTATCACTCTGATAGTGAACATGTTATTTTCTTATGTTCTACTTGTCTTGTTGGGGTCCAAATCCTTTCAGATCTGTATGTGGTAGAAGTTAAGACATCAACTGTCTATACATATCATTCGTATTTGAAATAGTTACCTTGGCCATAACAATCAAATAAATAAACTAACAAGCTGCCACTACCCACCTAACAACTACAAAATACTTATAGTTACTGAAGCACATTAGTCATACCACTACTTGTACATAATAATTAACAAGTTAAATCTGTATTATACACTGAATGCAAATATGGTATCCAATTTGAGTTGCCATGTTCTGGACTCGCTAGCCTCTCACATGTGTGATAATTGTTTTGTGTTTCCATGCAAAGACAAGATTAGTGAGTTCAGAACAATGGCAATTCAGATTGAACACCATATTTGCATTCGGTGTAGGTAAGGTGTGTTATCCAGTAGAAGTGTGGTTACTTGTTGGCTCCATGGAAAATAAAAGCTCCATTCAAACACACATGGTGTTTATTTCTCAATATACTTACTACTTTTTCCCTGTTGTTCATACGAGACAAGGTTTTATGAAGAAACTGACATTCTTATGAATGTTGTTGTTGTTCCCCTGTTTTGAGCAAGTGTGCATCATCAACAGTTTCCACATATATTTTTGTCAGTGTTGTAGTTTTTTCAGGCAAAATACTGGTAGTTAATCCCTGACCACCACCTTTGTCAATTTTATAAACTGAAAGGTTTGCTGGCTCAGTTCACCACCAACAGTTAAATGCTCTGAATGTACTAGACTACTCATTGGTGTTCATCTCTTGCAAAGTGGTTTCAGTCTCCCAAGCTGGGGATTCAGATAAGGAATGCTTAAATCCCTTGACATGCATGATTAAGCACAGCATGGTGAGGAATTGATTAACACACCTTTGATGTACAGTGGACTTTAGAGGTCTCAAGTTGTGTAGGAAAATTCACAAACTGTTGGTCTCCTAAGAGAAATGTCTTTGTCATTTATCCAGATCACTATCATAATTTACAAAACAACCAAATTTATTGGCCAGGTTCCTAGCATGTGTTGGTTGGAACTTGCAAGGTTTTACTCTGAGCAGCTTGAATGCTAAATCTTCCATGATTAGGCCTGAAACCAACAAACACAAGCACTACATTTTAGCATTGCACTCATCAGAAAGTTAACTCTCTCACACAACAACCAAGCATTTCTTCTTTGTTGACAACTTCAGAGAATTTAATATTGTATCCCAAAACCATCTGTCTATTACTCTAATTGACCCTTCAAACCCTAACATCAGAATTCATATTCTCCATACTGTTCTCTACACACTTTACGGTGTTGACAAGGACATGAATTTGTTTAACAACCAAGAACTTCAATGAATTTCAATACATGAAAATCATATACATGTACTGTGGTTTCATGAAATGTATGAAAGCAATCCTTGCAGTAAAGAACCCCACTTATGTAGTAGTAACTTCTTTAGTTGGAGATCATTTCCTCTAATCTTGTGACCAAAAAATTGGCGATTCAGGGGTGATATTGAAAAGAGATATTAGATGCTAGACACTCTTACAGATCAAAGGGCTATTATAGTAATCTCAACAGAGGTTTCTGTCAAAACATGTCTTTTAAACTCAAAAGTTTTGTCGTTTTCTTTCAATTTCTGACTTGCCTGCTGACATCAAGATTGTTTGGAATCTCAATGTTCCTCTTTAGTATGCACTACTGTATATCAAAAACGTAAAAATGTCTCTGCACATATTGATAGCATGGCTACTGATAACATGTTTGACTCTAGACAGTTGTATTTGTCAGTGATACTTACCAGTGCATAAAATAATTTTTTCTTTTCCAAGGTATTTTATTGTCTCTGCAGTTTTTCTGAGGCATTCCTCTGAAAGGAAAGGGGGATCAGCTACAACTAGATCAAAGGAGTGTTCTGTGATCGAAGCAGGTAAGTAAAATGGCTTCTTGTAGTCATAGAAAACAAAATCTTCACCAAATACAGAGAATCTTCTGTCATATTCAAACACTTTTGCTTCACATCCCTCTGGTTTGATCTCAAGCACCTTTTTATACAAGGTTGGTGAACAAAGGCAAGCTATTCTGGAATTTAAAGGGGACAATTGGAAATGATTTTAAAATCATAGTTATCATTGACACTAGCCTACTTTTGAAGTCCCTCTTCACCCCCAGAGGTTTATATATATTTTGATTCTTTGCCTTATCAGGATTAATCTCAAAAAAGATGTTTGCGATTGATTAAATATTTCCTGAGGAATATTTCATCAATCCAAAAAATTTTTTGAGATCAATCCTGATAATGCAAAGAATGGAAATATACATAAACCTCTGGGGGTGAATAGGGACTTTAACATTCCATTAAGACCCCTTCTCACCCTGAAAAAAAAACCACTGGCATTGTTATGCGTTTAGGCTAGGTAATATTGTGGTATAAATTATGAATGTATTAGAATGCCTCTACTGGTTTCTGCTGAAAAAATCATGAGCTTTGCAACAAAAGAACCAGAAGTTGTATAAAGTATGTAATTGTCACATCAGGGTAACAGTAAAAAAGAAAGTAACAATTTGTATTTTGGCCCTCATCAATGTAAGGCATGTGATAGGAACATAAGGTCAACATTAAGGGTTACCACCTGCACAAGCTCATTGTCTTGTGCTCTTTGGCAAGAATCTTCATTCTTAGAGACCAGGCCTCTCTACACAGAAATTGTCATCTACTTACCTTTAAATTTGACAACCTTATATCCTCACCTGCCATTTTTTGACGCTCTCAAAGCTTCTTCTGCCAATATTGTGGCTGTCCTATTGTCATACCAAAACTGACTCAATTGCTATGAAAGCAAAAAACAAAACAAACACAAACAATAAACAAAACAATAAACAAAACAATAACAAAAAACACAGGTTGGTTCTTCATGGCCTTCAGAAATTTCCCAGCAAAAGCCTGATTGGGGGCCCAGAAAGGAAAAGCAATTTGACTCATTAGTTTGATTAACACACCCAGTCTTCATCTATATCCTTATTTTCTTGTGATACTTCTGTCTCCAGCCTTTGCTGCTCGTTAGTATAAAATTCCTGCAAAGCGTCCAGAGTGTGGGCCGACAATTGAGGGATGTCATCATCACTATCACTTTCGTTCTGGCCGACCGGCCGGTTTTTCTGAAATTCGAAGAGAGAAAGACACCACATATTCAACACAGCATGCATGCAAATTAATCGTTCATATCAAAGTAAATGTAATCATAGTTTAATGGTGAGTGATTGAGAAGTAAGGTCGGACAACCACAAGAAATAATCACGAGATGAGAACTGAAATAACTGGTTAACGCAAAGTCTCGATGCAAAAAGTCTGCACGCGCGTAGAGAATTTGCCTGTGGTCGTGGATCGCCAAACTAGGCCTGATCGATCTACGTAGCATAGAATGTCTATTAGAGGCCGAAAAAAAGTAAAAGGGTTATTGGATCGATTCTTTTATGCCGTGAGAGTATATACCTACTGTAGAGTACCTGGTTTTCGTCGTCCGCCATTTTGAAAAATGTGTAACCAGGTCATATTTGTGAGAGGCCTCTAAGCTACTAATTAAAAATTTAAAAGTTTCCATGGCATCAACAGAGTGTAATTAAGGTAATGGCTGTGTGCACAACAAAAGCCGGCAGTATCTTCCAAACAGTGACACGCTGTGAGATCCCCTTCCTGTAAGGCGTTCAAGATGAATTTTTGTGGCTCTGAAAATGGAGTGTCCCAGTAGCGAATGCTGTCTTCGGACGAGAACGAAATGGGTAGCAGTTTCGATTCTGCCATGAAGACACCGGTAAAGATTTTGCGCGAAACACCGCTTAAGTACCAAACGAGCGATCACATAAACAACCTGCAAGAGGAAAAAGAAAACTTCCTCAAGTTTGGCAACGTACCACGATTTCAGTTCGCCGGTGCTGTGGACTGGCTGGGAACAAACAAGAAAAACAGTGAAATTCGATTTGACTTTTATCAAGAGGCGCGTTACATTTTGGAGCGCGTCAGAGATGTCTATGGCAGTGGCGATACATTTTTCGACGCGGCTTTTGGAGAAAAGATTTCTCTTAGCCAAGCGTCTCAGACTGTGCTACAGTATTTGAAATCGCACGGTTTGGATGGCTCACTGAGGGTATACTGGACAAGTGATTTGAACTGCAGTGGGAAGATGCTCTGGCAAGGACCCAATGTACGCTACAATCGACCCGAAGCACGGAAATTTAGTCTGTGGCTGAAGAAGAGCAGTGAAAATGTTTATCTCCGAGAACACGGGATAAAAAGTTTGATGGACCACGAAATTGGCACTCATTTTGTATCCTTTTTCTCCTTCAAGATTTCATTAGCTATGAACTGTGTAATTAGATATTCTGAAAATGTCATTTATATTTTATTCTTCCGGAAATCTGTTTAAATTGAGAGTCACCTCCTGCAAAGGGTTTTTTTAATCAAGTCACAAAAGCTTTATATAGTTCATCGCGAGAATCTATTTCAATTCACAGTACCTCTCTATCTGGTCTAACTAGAAAAGTATCGTAATCTAAAAAAGATCCCAGTTGAGTGTGTCGCAAACTAAAAAAATTAGATATTTTGCGGTGGAACTTGTAGCAGCAGTGTTAATTTGTCACTGGCGTTTGACTCGTGTTCCAAATGTCAAGTCAATATAGACTATGACTTGGGGAAGAAAATCTAAGGTCAATGTGTCTTTACGTGCGTCCGATTTTGACTTTATCTTTTATCGTCGCACAAGACCGGGGAACGATAAAATCTACTGGCATCACAAGACATCAATATAATTTTTCTTTGTTTACATAAACTTCTGTTGTTTATGTAGCTGTCAGTCTTTTTGAAAACAAGGCACAGTAGAAACATGATGTCTACGTGATAAGAATTATCTCATCGCCTCAACCCTAAACTTACGTTACATAAGTTCGAGAGAAAGTTAAGTTGGGGACCAAGTCACCCAGTTGCTTTCCTGTCCATACACACAAATTGGAGTATGGCGGACTGGACACGAACCTATATTGTACCATAGTTAGTAGAGGGGATTGTACATAGCATTAACTTAGTGTTTCATAGTATTCACAATTAATACCGGTGATTGTTTGCAGCGGCTAATGGTAATTTCGATTATTAAGAAATGCCTTTGACACCCTTGAGTGATTGATGCAGTGTGTAGAATCGTAATTGACTTGATTAGCTACTGGTGGTGGCGGCTTAATTAATCTAATTACTTATTTATAAAACAACTAACACGTTGCAAAGTTGGCTTCCCGCATTAACTCGTTAAAGGAAGTAAACTTGATTTTATAGAGCATTTTCGCCCCACGAGAAGGTCCCAAAAAGGCAAGATATATAACTTGAATAGGTTTAGTTAGATGTATCGAAGAACCTTGTGTCAAAGACGAAACAACACCAGCAATATTCAACGGCTCGGGACGTGAAAAATCTTGTTTTTGAGCATCTCTTTGGATCACAGGAAAATTTAACGCTGACAGCAGTTTGTACAGAGTTTAAACATATTTATCCAGAAATGCACATCAAAAAACCGCAAATTCTAAACGCAATTAAAGGACACCTTCGCAATTCCTTGTAATGTAGTTCTTTCCTCCCACAGAAGGTCACAGCCTTTCCCACCAGAAGGTCATCCTGTCTCCAAATGATTTTCCTTAACTCTTCAACCTCGCGTTTCAGCTTCGGGCCACAAATGATGGTTTGCAGCCGTGGTACTCAAACCGGAACAAATTCAATCTTCGCTCTCCTCGGTCTTACACTGGTAGAGTCAACGAGGAAGGTCTGGCAGCGATCAATACCATTTATCAAGCGCAAGTTAAAATGCTGTTTCTACCCGCATTACTCTACTGTATGTATCTATCCTAAACTTTACATCCTAACATCAGTATGCATTTTCTCTGGACTGGTCTCTAAACATTTACTAATAGTTTAACAAAGAGAATTTGTTTAACAATCAAGAGCTTCTTCAGTTGGTGATCGTTTCCTTTTTTCTCGTGACCTCAACATGTTAATTCGGGGCGTGATTTAAGGAGAAATCAGATGCTGGTCACTCGTAGAGGCCAAGGGATTAAGAAAAAAGGAGGCTCATATGGACCTACCTCGCGTTCAGTATTATCATAACAAACTTCTTAGTCGCACCGCTTTTTTTTCACATCATTTCAGACACAGCGTGTATGTCAACTGAAATGTCCTTCAAGGAGCTGTTTGAGCATCTAGCGATGTACATATACGATCCAGAGCAGAGATGGAAGCAGGTGGTACGGGCCAAGAGGTGTCTCTCCAACTGCAGCGACACAGGAGGCTGTGGATACGATCAGTGTTATTTTGAAGGTATCTTCAAATACAAAATATAAAGTTCAACTAATTTTCGCAAAAATAAAAAAGTGTGCGTTAAGGGTGGACGTAAAGTGGACGAGAGAAAGCAAGAAGGCGCTAAACTCGGACCCAACCCACGTTCCTTCTGGCCTTTACGCTTAAGTCTGTAATTTTGTCTTTTCATTTCCTCTACAGGAGCTGTGACTATTTTGCGTCAGGTGAACGATATCGATTTCAAATTGATGTATGCCGGGAAAATCTGTTGCGACGAGCTGCAGAGGATCAAGCGCATTGCACGACAAGGCTGTCTCAAACTGCCTCACTTCCTGAAGGATATAGTGGCCTACAAGAAAACCCTGAACGAAATTGCTTTAACGAATGGACTTATACAGAAAATTAACAGACCTCTGTCGAGTCGAAATAGCTCTCGACCTAAAGCACGCAAAAAGAAGTCTTTAGTTTCACCGCAAGATCGGGTACAATCCAGAATTTTTAGTTGTCCTAAATCGAGATCGCAAAGTGGTCCGCTTTTAACAAATCTTCCGACCAGGATGTTGCCTCGGCGTTCCAACATATACAGAAGACTGTGTACGAGTGTGGCCTCTTTCGCTCCTCTATCATCTTAAGAGGAGAATAATTCAACGAAGCACTGTGTTTAGGTGCTCGTAGAGTGTAATTGGTTACAGTTTTTGAGCGCGGCTGAAGTCCATTCAAGACGTGTGTGTGAATTTTAGAGTGGACAGACCAAAGAATTGACATGACACTAAGTCAGCTAAAGTTATTAAAAAATGAAGACTTTGTCTGATATTGATATATTTTCAAAGCGTTATATTTCTCTTTGTTATCACGTCCTGAGAAAGCCTTTTCCCCAAAAGTTCGGATCAGAATTAACTTATTCCAGAAAGTTTCAAATAGTTACAAGACAACATTATTTTGCTCAACTCCACATTTCAAACAAAACTTATTGCACAATATAAAGTGTGTATGATGCACGATCCTTCGCAGTATATAGCGCTATTTATGCAATAGCGAAAATCAGACCTGAAAAAAAAAAATCAGGCCTGTACGGGATTCGAACCACTGACCTCTGCGATACTAGTGCAGCGCTCTACCAATTGAACTAAAAGCCAACTGTGAGCAGGCCGTTAAGTTAATTCGTAATAAACCCGCGATGATTTATCATCACCATGATGATTTATCATCGCCCGTGATGATTTATCATCGCCCGTGATGATTTATCATCACGGGTTTATAACGAATCAACTTAACGGCCTGCTCACAGTTGGCTTGTTAGCTCAATTGGTAGAGCGCTGCACTGGTATCGCAGAGGTCAGCGGTTCGAATCCCGAACAGGCCTGATTTTTTTTCAGGTCTGATTTTCGCTATTGCATAAATAGCGCTATCTACTGCGAAGGATCGTGCATCATACGTATTTAATACCGCAGTTCAAAATATATGAACTTCATATATTCATTGTATCTGATTTATCATCACGGGTTTATTACGAATCAACTTAACGGCCTGCTCCCAGTTGGCTTGTTAGCTCAATTGGTAGAGCGCTGCACTAGTATCGCAGAGGTCAGTGGTTCGAATCCCGTACAGGCCTGATTTTTTTTTTTCAGGTCTGATTTTCGCTATTGCATAAATAGCGCTATCTACTGCGAAGGATCGTGCATCATACGTATTTAATACCGCAGTTCAAAATATATGAACTTCATATATTCATTGTATCTGATTTATCATCACGGGTTTATTACGAATCAACTTAACGGCCTGCTCCCAGTTGGCTTGTTAGCTCAATTGGTAGAGCGCTGCACTAGTATCGCAGAGGTCAGTGGTTCGAATCCCGTACAGGCCTGATTTTTTTTTTTCAGGTCTGATTTTCGCTATTGCATAAATAGCGCT